CCGCTGAACTGCAGATCACAGTCAGCTGAAGTGGCCTGCAGTACTGCACCCTAACCACTGCGCCACCTCGGTTCATAGTTTCCACCCATTGTTCCTTGTCTTGCCTTCTGGGGCTTTGGAAAATAAATTGACCCCCCTCTTCATTGTGGCAGCACCTCAAATATTGGAACACTGCTATCATGTCACCACTGGTCCTTCTGTTCTCTAGACTAGACATATCCAGTTCCTGCAACCGTCTTCCCGTGTTTTAATCTCCAGGCTTTTAATTATCTTAGTTGCCCTTATCTGTACTTTTTCCAAATTCTCAACATCTTTTTTATAATGCGGTGACTAAAACTGGAAGCAGTATTCCAGGCGTGGTCTTACTAAGGTTTTATAGAGCGTTACTAATATTTCACATGATTTTGGTTCCATGCCTCTGTTTATACAACCAAGGATCAAAGAAGGACGTTATAGGTTTTCATGAGAAATAGCAAGACACAAGAGGAAATGATCAGAGATTTTGCAAATGGATGCTCTCCAAAACACTGTCATTATGCCACTTGGTCCCTCAAAAACAGCGGCGTTATGAAGCCAAATCGGTGCAGATTTTGGAGAGGAAAAACGTCGATGAGGATCAGGACACATTAGCAATAAAACTGTTTCGTAAGGTGCTGAAACATCAATGTTTCATTAAACTATGGCATTTGCTGTGGTTTCTATTAAAAAAAAAATTCATAATATATCTGCTCCCTCCCGAGACGGCAGAAACAGGAATGCAGTATCTTTCCAAGATCGTTCGGGCTCCTTTCCTCTTTCATAATCCTCGAGTGCGTCTGACAGCTACCATCGGCAAAAACGTAGCGTACCTGCAGCAGTATGCTAGTGTCAGTTGGTGTTATGTCAGAAGAAGCGCATGGAAGCTGCAGTGTGAGCGGCGTGCGAGGCCATTAGTCAGTCCCTCGGATCTCTGCAGGATCCTGAAGACAGCTTGAGGTAGCCGTGGGGGTGTGAGGAGAGCAAGACAGCTTGGAAATATACTAGGCCATTAAGAAGGGCTGAAAAGGCAAGCGGGCTGGCGGATATAAAAGCCGCTGTGGAAAGGAAAGCAACTCATACCTGACAAGAAGGCAGTATAAACAACCCTCTACGACACCAAGGAAAGCGCACTCTCTTTCCCTTGTGTGGAGGAGTGTCTGTTCCAAACTGAATGCTGTGAAGCTTTATCTAGCATTGTTTAGAGCAGGGGTCTCCAACCTTGGCAACTTTAAGACTTGTGGACTTCAACTCCCAGAAGGCCACTTCAGCTGACTGTTATCTGCAGTTCAGTGGTTCTAATCTCACCGGCTCAAGGTTGACTCAGCCTTCCATCCTTCCGAGTAGGTAAAATGACCCAGACTGTGGGGGCGATATGCTGACTCTGTAAACCGCTTAGAGAGGGCTAAAAGCCCTATGAAGTGGTATATAAGTCTAACTGCTATTGCTATTGCTATTTAGACTAGCTAGACCCAAAACCTGCAGCTGTTCTTCGTATGGTTTAGTCTCCAGGCCTTTGATCATCTTAAACTGAACTTGGGACAACATGTGTCAAAGATGAAACATGGCAATGTTTTGGATGCCACGCCGACACAACTTTATCCCGATCCTTGCTTTCACGATCTTCGCAGGTCTGTGAAGCGAAGGAAAACTAGTAAGATCATAAGCACAGTCACCTTTTTGCTTAGCAACCACTTTGCTTAATGAATAAGCTTAAAAAAAATGCTACGAAAGGAGTACCTGTATAGCAGACAAAGTAGCAGCTGCTCAAAAAGCCAACACAGTTCTAGGCTGCATAAACAGAGGGATTGAATCAAGATCACGTGAAGTGTTAATACCACTTTATAATCCCTTGGTAAGGCCACACTTGGAATATTGCATTCAGTTTTGGTCACCACCATGTAGAAAAGATGTAGAAAGAGTGCAGAGAAGAGCAACCAAGAGGATTATGGGACTGGAGGCTAAGACATATGAAGAACAGTTGCAGGAACTGGGCATGTCTAGTTTAATAGAAAGAAGGACTAGGGGAGACACGATAGCAGTCTTCCAATATTTCAGGGGCTGCCACAAAGAAGAGGGAGTCAAACTATTTCCCAAGGCACCTGAGGGTAGAACAAGAAGCAATGGGTGGAAACTAATCAAGGAGAGAAGCAACTTAGAGTTAAGGAGAGATTTCCTGACAGTTCGAACAATTAATCAGTGGAACAGAAGTTGCCTCCAGAGGTTGTGAATGCCCCAACACTGGAAGTCTTTAAGAAGATGTTGGATAGCCATTTGTCTGAAACGGTATAGGGTTTCCTGCCTAGGCAGGGGGTTGGACTAGAAGACCTCCAAGGTCCCTTCCAACTCTGCTATTGTATTGTATTGTAGCACATTTGGGATAGAATAAGCAACAGAAGACTGGATTGATCAGTTTTCCAAAAAATACTATGATCTGGAATATCTCCACTTGCGCCATTAAGTAGAACCATTTCTTTTTCTTAATAGGTTTACAATATTCAAAGCACCAGCTCCATGGGTAGCTAGCAACCACATCACGAGATAGTTGGGCGTCCGTTGAATTGCAGGGTGCCAAAGAGCAGGGAGAAAGATTACGGCTCCCCATAGCAAAAGGCTATTTTAAAGTTCTTTTGTTGTGCTGAGGGCAGAATATTTTCTCTCCCTGGGAGCCAGATGCAACCACAGCATATTTTATTATCGGCTGATTTTCCTAGGTGGAATTACATTGTGGGTTATCGTTCGGCCTTTCAGGTGAGAGTGGTTAATTGGGTTTAGAGGCGGCTCTACAAATGGGTTACAATAGGTACATCCCACGTTTTATTTAGTTATTGTGTTATGTGTGGGAGAGCCTTCGGCAAGAGAATGTCTCATAGCAGCAGAAGGGCTGAAAACTCTGCTGGTGTTTTATAACCTCACCGCCTACCGGATGCCGTTTCTCTGCATTCTCATCCATTCATTAAGGTTTATATGGGTTCAAGGAACTGAACCGCCGCTTAAGGCTGCTGTCAGCCCTGAAGCTGGCCTGACTGAGGCCATGAGGTGACTGAGGCCATGTTGAGACTTCAGCGCCGACACCCTGGCGAAGAGGGACAGGGAGGAGGGAATCGAGACAGTTGGGGTGTTGTAGTCAAAGCAAAATACTTTCTCTTGGGAACCAAGGTCGTTCCTGCATGTGCTCGGAAGGAGGGGACTGGAGTCACCTAGCAACTGGACAGTATCCTGATTGGACCATGTGATTGATTGTTTTGAGAAAGTGAAGAACTTTTACTTTCAATTAGGTGAAAACCACAGGAATATTCAGAGTTAGTTTTCATCAGCCTGTGCCAATATACTATCCAACAAACTTATTCTTTGAGGAAACTATCAGCCTCAGAGTTTTGTTTGCTATGGGTATGTTACTTGGAACCCTGTAGCTGCATGTAATGCAGGATGTCCTCGACTTACAACAGGTTCATTTAGTGACTGCTCAAAGTTACAATGGCACTGCAGAAAGTGAGTTATGACCATTTTTCACACTTACGACCATTGTAGCATCCCGTCATGCGATTTCCATTCAGATGCTTGGCAACTCACATTTATGACAGTAGGAGTGCCACCTTTTGCGACCTTCGGACAAGCCAAGTCAATGGGGAAACCGGATTCACTTAACAACCATGTTACCGATTTAACGACTGCAGTGGTTCACTTAACAGCCATGGTAAGAAAAGTCGTAAAATGGGGCAAAAACTCACTTAAATTCCTCGCTTAACAACATACACTTTGGGCTCGAGGACTATCTGTAGTCGGTACAGTTGGTCCTCAACTTACAACCGCAACTGAGCCCAAAATCTCTGTCACTAAGCGAGGCTAAGTGAGTCACACCCAATTTTGGGACTTCTTTAGCCACGGTTGTTAAGCAAATTACTGCTAAACGAATCATGTAGCCATTAGGCAAATCTGACTTCCCATGTGCAACTTGTCAGAAGCCACTTTGGGAAGATTGCAAATGGCGATCACATGACCCCAGGATGCTCCAACTGTTGTAAATACACACTAAATTTTGATCACAGGGCCACGGGGATGCTGTGACGGTCATAAGTGCCAGAACTGGTTGTAAACCGCTTTTTTTAAGCGCCACTGTCTCTTTGACAGGTCACAAATTGTGTGGTTGTTAAGTCAAGGACCGTCTATATATGGCCAAAGGCTTTGCAATGTAATTAACCATACACAAAGAGGAAGAAAAGAGTGCCATAAAAAAGCAGGGTGGCAGGTAGATAATTAGTAGAAACATACATTTTTTTGCCTGTAGAAACGCATATGATCCATCGATAGGAGAGATGAACCTCATGCATGTGTGTGTGTGTGTGTTTAAAATATGCTGCTATGCAAAATGCTTGGGTTGCCCTCTCACTAAATCCCCGTCCTCGTGGTGCACGCTAGGTTTGTGCAAATGCTGGTATTTGTAATCTGCAGAGAGCTCCGGAGGAACGAAATCAGAGCAGGAAAAAGGAGATGTGCTAAAACATTACGGCCTTTGGCTTCAACATGACTGCAGAACGGCTCGAAACGCAGACACAAAGAGCAACCTCTGGATGAGTCTGGAAACATTAGGAAATGCAGCGATGAGGCAGCTCCCTCCCAGAGGCTTTCTATTTTAAATTTAGCTGTTATATTCAGCATTCTCACAAGGTGCCTCTGATCACGATGGTGGTGTTTTTTTTTTTTAAAGCTCAGCACTAAAATTGTGCAAAATCATTTGGGAGGGGCGGTTCCAAAATATTTGCATGGACCTACTGAATACTACCCGGTTTCCCTCAAAATAAGGCCTATCCTGAATATAAGTCCTAGCATGTTTTTAACGCCTGTGCCTAATATAAGCCCTACCACCAAAATAAGCCGAACTTAATTCCTGCGCAGCTGGCCACTCAAGAAGTCGTCCGCGGCCACATGGGATCCTGCTGGACGGGGATGCTGGAGCTGCCACTGCAAGGCAAGGCAGGTTTCAGGGCATGGGTGGCCTGCTTGTATGGACCCTGAGGTAAGCTGGTGAGGCATGTGGGGGAGAGCTCCACCCCCACACCTTGCGACAGTAGCATTGGTGCACTGTGTGACCTACTGCCCCGCTGCAAGCAAGCAGAAGTGGGTCTCCCATACATGGGGAAAAACAAGACACCCCTGAAAATAAGCCCTATTGCTTATTTCAGAGCACAAAAAAAATAAGACTGGTTCTTAATTTTCGGGAAACACAGTATGTCAACCATGAAGCTGACCGGGCCGAAGTCATTATGTGACAGCTTAAGCGTTGCCACACTGGAGCTGAGGGATAGGGAGTC